CGAGAAGTAAAACTGTCTTCAGCTATACAGTAATTGAATAATCAAATGTATTTATTTGTTTTATAAACAATTCAATAAAATTTATAGGTTTTTTTTAAGTTGTCAAAGTTAAAATCTGTACAAATTCGTAACCCTGAATGCTTTCAAAATCTTCACACAATCACAGGCTTCAAAAAACACTTGCAAAATGACAATACTTATATTAAAATACAGAGTCAACATTGTGTATATTAGCAATGCGACTACTGCAAATGCGCACGTTGCGATATCAATGCTGAACCAATATATTGTGCAGCCCAAATGAAGATCATACGCATCAAACATCCAAAAGATTCACAAATTCTATCAAATTTAAAACAAATTTAAAAAAAAAAACTTTTGCTGCGTCACAATTCACATACTATCTATCCTAAACAGTATTCAAAAACAGAATTAGCATGTCCAAATCATTGTATATTAAAATCAAGTCACAACAATCAATATATCGACTTGTCTTGCAATACTTTGAGATGACCTCAATTTTTGCCATTGCGATATATATATATATATATATATATATATATATATATATATATATATATATATATATATATATATATATTCACAAATAATGTTAAAGCCATTTTACAATAACATTTTCATTTTAACTCACTGGTGTCAATGTTTTTAAGTGTGCATTTACCTGATAGGACATTTAATAGTATGTATTATAGGACATTTGCCTGTTTAATATCAAATCGTAGAATCTAAACAACCTTAAGAACAATAAGTGTTTTAAAGCGTTTATAGCTAGTTGCATTAATATGCTGTCATATAATTATATAATCAGTGGCATAAAAGGAGCCCAAAATAACAATAATATTGCTTAATGCAATGACTTCTGTGACAATATATCGCACAGCAACAAATTCCTTATCATGACAGGCATAGTTAAAATGGCAATGTTGTAATGGTCTACTATTTCTGATAGAAATGCAGATCTGTGCATATTCTTACAGCTTATATTTGACACAATACATTGCCAGTTAGAGGTAAATTTGGTTAGAACTACAAATACATAAAAAAAATAAAAATTAAATAAGTTTTAAACAACAAAAATGGCGGATACAAGACTGACGAATAAATGGAGAGGCTTTGGTAAAGATTTTGGAATGATTCTTAATATCTAACTTTTGTTTTATTTTTAATATTTCACATTTTCCCACATTGTATTACATCAGCACCAACAATGTGAACTTTCACATAGCGATGTTTGGCCATTAACTTCTGAATGCATATTTACACAAATGCCTGAGGAAATATTTCTGCATGAATGACTTATGAATGGCAGACTAGCCTGCTGCTAATTCTTCAATATTGTAGGAAATTAAGTATGAAAGAAATGTGGATAATATGAGGAGATGATTAACAAAACACTTTACAAAGCAACATAACAGTCCGTTAGTAGAAAGTAACATATGCCAAAGCTTATATACTCTTCTGTTAGACACTCAAAAGTAAATGCCGTTTTTTTTACGTACATAAACTTTTATGATGTAGTATAAGTAGACAAACTTGGACATAGCAATGTAAATAAAGGGCACATTTCTCATTTCATTAGGGCATTATTTTCTTATATTTGCAAGTGTTTAAGTGAACCCTCGGTTTGAATGCTCTTTGACGTGAATAAATGACTGATTACAGCCCGAGTAATAGAATCTTAAAAGAAGATTTGAAGAAAAACTAAAGTATGAGGTCAAAATAAACATTGTTTTGCCAGAACTGAAGATTTGAATGTTTATATGTTCTAAATGCTAACTTTGTAACCATTTTGGAGCACACTAGCTTATAAATATCTTTAAGATTAACATATTGATATGAACAACTAAAAAAAGATTAAGATTTAATTTTTGTATTGACTGTACTAGGTTTTTGAAGAGTGTATCAGAAAAGTGAAGTGGCAGACTGTGGAACTTGAGTTTGTGTTGTCATTTGCTGGTGTGAACACTAGCAGTTATTATTCTTGGTGAACATGCAGGCTTTAAGTAGCCCCACATAGAATCTACAGTCAAAGAAAACAGATTGTTGAGCCTGTCATGCAGTGTATTTATTTACTTATGTAAATGTGTGCACATTTCTTTATTCAGTTTTTAGTATTTATTTCAGTTGTATTATTGAATGATAGCCAAATGTTTAGATCATTTGTGTACGATTCAATTTATATTATTATGTTATTCTACAAGTCTTTTAGTGTATAAAAGACCTACTGTAATTTTGTTTACCGAAAAACTCTAATTCCATTTGCATCTTAAATTGTAAAAAGACATTACACTTTTATTTTTTATTTATTCTATACTCCCAAAATCATTTTGAACAAACCCACAGATTTTTTACAAAATTCTGTGGAGGATTAGCAACCAAAAAAGTCCACAGATTCTGCCTTGCCACACTATAAATAATAATATTACTAAAAAACATCAGTACCTTTCTTTGGCAAGCCTCGTCCCTTGCCCGTCCTCGACCTCCGGTTAAGCAGTTTGCCCTTTGGGCTTGTGGGTGGAACCACAGACCGGACAGCTTCGCCATTATCACTCAACGAGTCGCCCCGGCCAGAGTCCCGGGAGGAGTTTTTCCTCAGACGTCTCTTCACCTTGGCTTTGAGTCTGGCCTCGTGGATGGTGCTGGTGGGGGCCGATATCCAGTTTCCATTTATCTCATTATTAACATTTGCGGTGAAGGTGCTGTCCTCGTCCCCAGAAGGGAAGGAATCGCTAAGATTTCCGGCCTCTGTGGATGACGACAGCATTTGGATGAAAGTGCAACAAACTGTGCTAGCTGTATTCACAGTTGTAGTTTAATTCAGCTGGTTAATTAGGTGTTGAACAACAAAAATAATTGAAGCTAGACATAGGACGATAATCGTTTTCAAGGTATACCACGATTTGGAAAAAATCAAGGTTTTAAAACCGCCAAGATTTTCTGCCCTTCCGTTCCTACGGTATTATGTAAGATTTTCGTTTTGTGTGTTTTTTTTTTTTTTTTAGTAAAACAGTATCTCAAGCAAAAAAGATATCCAAAGATGCTGTTATTTAATTGTAAATCTGTGATTTCATTGAATTATTTAGCCTCATGTTTAATGTTCCAAAATATTTTAAACGTTTCTCAAATGAAAATATATTGTGTTCAAAGGAGAAAGTTTTAGTTTTTTGTCAAGACATTTAAAAAGAGCATATATTAGAGCGGAAATCTCAATACCACGAAACCATGATATCTTTACCCAAGGTTATCATAACGTCAGAATCTTAAACTGGCCCATGCCTAATTGGAGCTAGTTTGCATAGTTTTCTGTGTTGAACTGTTCATTTTGCAGTGGCCAAAACACTTTTGTGCACAAGTGTAAATGTGTTTTTGTGTGTCAGTTAGTGAAGTTTCTCACACAAGTAGATAAACAGAGTTCTGCTGAAAGGAGACGAGTGCATTAAACTATAACAGGCAACACTGTTACTATAGACCAGGGGTCACCAAACTTGTTTCTGGAGGGCTGTTCACCTGCAGATTTTAAACTCCAACCCTAATCAAACACACCTGAACAAGCTAATCAAGGTCTTATGAGGTATACTTGAGGTGTGTTGAGGCAAGTTGGAGCTAAACTCTGGAGGGACACCGGCCCTCTAGGACCGAGATTGGTGACCCCTGCTATAGACTTTGTTTATGGTTGCATCTTGTGTGACACCATGACCTATTTTTAGATAGCTTGGATGTTGTTGGTCTGTGATGCATTAAAAATTCAGCTAAACTATACCAGAGTTAATTTAGAAGTGGACTAAGGCACATTTTCTTGACAAGTGTGAACACATCATTATTGCAGACCAAACATAAGGGGGTGGATGCACAATGGTTTATAGTTTAGGTTTTGTTTTCCACTGAGACAGTAAAAAGCTGTAACTCTTGACCTTAAAGAATCCACTAAGGCTTATCAATGGCAAACAACAAACAGAAGGTCAAATAGTCCTCAAATACACATTCAATAGGACAAAGTCATTAAATCTCGCAATAATAATGAACTTAGAACTTACCAACAGGGTTAGCATTCAGCCATGCCTCGCAATCAGTTGCCATGGTTGGGAAATTTAGTTTCGGAGCTTAAGAAATGTGCCTTAGCACCTAAAATCCAAAAAATATGAACGTTAATATGCTAATGTAATTGTAACGCACATTTTGCAATAAATGAACAGACAGCTGCTCCAATCAGCAGCGTCCATCTGGCTCGTCCACAAGCCTGTTAACGTTACAATGATTGGATCGCATTAACATGCAGACATTAGGCTAGCAGCCTCCAAAATAAAGCATTGTGATAAAGAAATGCTTAGTTTATGCTAAGTGTTTCATGTTTAATGTAGAGCACGCATTTAATGTATGGCGTTGCGTGCTACGTAAATATAAACAAAGCCTGTGGACGAGCAGTGAAAACCCTGTTTTGTCCTAATCTGAAGCACCGTGTTAAGCAACGCACACAAAGTGTTAAGACATCGCATAATAAGTTGTTCTGAAACAATAACCAGTCGATATGAAACAAATCCTACTAACCTGCTTTATCGCGCAGTCCAAGTTCAAACGCACTCTCCCTTCGCTGATGTTGATGTTGTGTTCTCTGCCCAGCAACTAGATAGTGTAATGCAGTTCTGCGAGCTCTCTGATTGGCCAGAATAATAGAGGGTGTTGACAAAGCGACCTATGAGAATTTAGTTCAGTGAGGGTGGTTTTTCTCGTGTTTTCTATGAAGCCTTCGGGAAAGTTCGAGAAATTTCGTCTCCTGGCGATGTTGGACACAACAGAAGTGATGTCATCATATACTATTATATAATACTTTGCGCATGGGTGAGGAGGAACTCAGTCTCTGTTATATTTTTTTGCTCTTTTACTGACCCATTTTAACACAATGTGTAAAAGGCGTTTTCTATACATGTACAGGCCTAGACACGCTAGTCATTCTTTTCATATAAATTCAGAGTCAGACAACATCATTTTCCAAAATGTTTATTCAATATTTGCATCGACGCAATCCAAAAATAATCATACAGATTTGTCTTCCAGAAAATAGGATGCTATTATTAACAGAATATAAAACAGCAGGAGAAAATGTTTTCAAGAATCATTCCAGCAATTTACTAGCATTGTAGCACACCTAGCTTTTTTAAAAACAAATGTTATATTAGAAACATGGTCCAGTTCAAGTATCCCTAAAATCTCTGCTTACAGTAATGATTGAGCAAAAGCATAGGATTATGACAGACAGAAGCTTTCCATCGTGTTTAACAGTTTTTAAATGATTTTGAATGTACTCATAAGGCACTTGTGAATATTTCGAGCATGAAACATGACCTGAACACTGTCAAAATTATCAGAAAAATCAATACAGACAAATGTATATATAGCTTAAAAAGCATAAAAATAATATTCACAAGTATTCACCTGAGGATAAATTTAGGCCTCTTTAAATTTAAATAGAAATTAGGCATATTCATATTTGCCTTTCACTGAGAAAAATCTCTACATATGCAAGGTTCATGTTTTGTATGAATGAATGAGGCAGATGCAAATTATGTAAACACTACACTTACCAGTGCATTTCACATTTTGATACATATTTTTCACAGTGTAATAAAATACCTCGCGGGACTACTGAGGACACACACACACACAGTCTTTTGTATTCCGTATAAGGACCTTAATGTGTCCTTAAAAGTACAGTCTACTTAATTTTGTTCCAAATCTATATGACTTACCATGAAAGACAATTTAAGATATTTTGTTAAATTTTCCTGCACTGCTGCTCTTTTCCATACAATTAGAATGAATGGGGGATGGGGCTTATTTATATATAAGATATATGATTATATTTATAAACATTTTATTTATTAGTTTTAGTTATTTTAGTACTTAAACTTAAAGTACACAAAAATTAGAAATGTTGCCTTTGCAACCAGCTAAAATTTAGTTTAGTTTTTTTTTTTGAGTAAAAAAAAATATTTTCTTATAGTTTTCATTTATTTTATTTCTATTACTATTTATTATTATTATTTTCAGTTTGTTCCTCACCCCAGGCTAACGTGAATGAATACAATGTGTAAAACGTGAAACATTAAAAAATAAAAAATAGATATTAAGAATACTTTAAACATCTTTACCAAAGCCTCTCCATTAATGCATTGACTTTTGCTGCTTGTTTAAACTACTTAGTTAATAAAAATGAGTTGAAACAACACAATTCTTAAAGATTTTAGGGACAACTTACTTGTGTTATGTTCAATCCACTTAAATTTATACAAATTATTAATTTAACTTAATTGATTTGTGTTGGGACAACATAAAGGAATTGTGTGAAACCCAGCATTTTTCCAGTGTATAACAGGGTGCAAGAAGATCATAACAAAACATATAAATGAGACATACAATGCAAAAAATGACAGTATATGACAAAAAAAAGTTACTTGGACTTTTTTTTTAAATAAGCAAATAAGTTTTTGTTTTATTCATACAAAGTTTAACTTAATATTTTAGTCAGTTTGACTGATATAAGTTCAAACTTAACTTGATTCAACAAAAAAACTTAAGGCAGCACAATATTTGAAACACTGTACAAATCCAAATGAATTAGCCACTAATATCTGCACTTATTTTTCATTGCACTCTTCTTAAATTTGAGCCACAATCCCCATTCACTTACATTGTATAGAAAAAAACTATTTAACACTTCACTTTCCCTTTTTTTGTAATTTACACTGTTGAATGAACACATTCCAGCACACAAATGTTCCATTAGCTCCAGTTGTCTTTGTCTACCTTCTTTATTTTCTGCAGCGTCTCTGTTTCACTGAATGGATGTGTCTCATTTAGTGCGTCCAGCAGTCCTATTGTGTGTCTCACGTGAGCTTTATTCAGTGTTTGGCGACTCCGCGTGGAAGTTCAAGAAACTTTCTTCCGCCAGCTGTGACAGATACTTCTACAAAAAAACAACAAAAAAAACAATCCCCTGTTAAGTTACTAAAATGACACTTAGGAGCAGCCTGAGGAGCAACAGTTTGGTTTCTCTGACTAAAATGGCTGACTGCCAGCACCTGTTATGACTGTTATACTTAAGTAAAGTTCAGCTACATTTAAACACTGTATTATATCTAAGCTTTTCTAGAAACTCAAGTTTGTGTACAGGAAAGTCATTAGGTTATTTTTTTATTTGTGTACAAAAACGTGAACAAAATGGCTGACAACTTCGACTAACTGATGCTAATTTCATAGCTATAGCTTTTAAAGTGTCTCAAATACACACCATTAAATGTTGCTGTCAAAATTTTAGCATAATTTAATGACAACATTAAATGAAAATTCACTCATTTTTTTAAATAGTAATGCTAATTAATGTTTAGCTAATCTAATCTAGTCATTATATACAGTACCATGCTAAAGTCTGCTTTAATGTCAAAGGAAATCTCTGAATAGTGAATAGTGTCCAACCAAAAAAGTGTGCTTGTTTACCAGTGAAATGGTTAGAGCTGAAACAAAAGAAGGTCAAAATGTGTGAGGAAAGCAGGCATTTCCTGTAATGTTTATAGTCTCTCTCTCTCTCTCTCTCTCTCTCTCTCTCTCTCTCTCTCTCTCTCTCTCTCTCTCTCTCTCTCTCTCTCTCTCTCTCTCTCTCTCAGTCTTAATTTAGAGTTGCTTTATTTGGCATGACAAATGCTACAAATGTATTGTCAAAAGCATTTGTGATACATTAAATAGAGGATATGAAAACAAATGGCATATTTGTAGTGCAAAAAATAAATAATCCACAACAATTACCAGTATTTTTAACAATCAAAGTGTTAAGATTCATTTATAACAATTTAGAATTCTGTTTGTGTCTCTCTCTTTCTCTCTCTGTTTCACCTGTTTTTCCCTTCTGCTATTAAATTCAGCCGTCACCTTCTCACTGTAGTTCTTGTAAACTCAACACAGCTGGCAGACCTCAAGACGGAGCAGTAAAGTATGAGGTGACGCTCTTTGGCAAACCGCGCGAGTCTGAGAGACACGACAACTGGTTGCGGTCTGACTGTGATGACGGGGAATGTCCGGCTCCGTGTTGTGCTGGAAAGTGTGTTCGTCTGTCTGTATGTGTGCGTTACTGAAGGGTTATAATGAGAAACTGTATCCCACCCTGAGGACCAGCCTCGTCAGATCAATCAGTTTTACATTGCCGTCAGCAGTGGCGGGGAGTAACTGAGTAAGTGTGGCCTTTTCAGTAACAAGGTACTGTTTCCAACAAGTAGCGGGTTGGCGTGCCAAATGCTACATCGCTGTTTTGATTTCACATTGTTTGAGTGCGGTTTGGAAGCCAAGTGAACTGATGCAATTAAATACGCTTTGCAAAATATAGTGCTCTCAAATATACAGCTGATTCACTTGGGGAAAGATATTTTAAAGGTCCAATGAAATTGAAATAATGTTTTTTTTTAGATGTTAGTATCGATATGTTCGTTTTAAGGATATCTATAAGCTAGTGTGCTACAAAACAGTGACACAATTCATGTTTAGATGATATAAAACTAATATTATCACCTCTGCCTGAACGTTTTTTTCATGTCACAGCATACTACTGTTTTTCATTGAATATTCCGACCAATCAAATGATCTCTAGTGTCTGACATGCCCCGCCCCACTTCAAGACACGGCTCATTGGATGCGTCTGAAACCGTATATTTATATTATATTCACCTTATTCTACGCTGACGAGCAGGCGCAGCCATTTGAATCTTTTTGGCTCGAGACTTCCGGTCTCATTCACTTCTATTCATTTTTAGACATTAAAAACTGCTCGTTTTGCTGTTTGATGTTGCAAACTGATATTTCCTTATTATATTATTCTACTTGGTCTATATAGTCATGTAAACATTTGTTTGTAGAGCAAGTAGTTTGACCGTTTTCTGCCGTTTATTATTCGTAGTCATTTCTCCCATAGGCGATTGAATCGGAAGTTCTAAAACAATCGCGCAAACACGCGCACTTCCACATTTTAGAATAAGGTCAAATATATAGGCTATGCTATCCCATGATGCCCCGCGAGAGAATTCAAGAATGGGAGTGAAGCGACGCAACTGAGGCAGGTAGGTCTTGTGACCATGACAAAATGGCAGATGTAGTACGTTCGAATTCCATTCATACTGCTCACATTCATACTGCATAGAACAAACTTTTCTAACGGCCGAGTAGTACGTTTAAATTCAAATCATTATCCGTCTCCACTGAGTAGTAGGCAGTAGTAGTTTGCTTTTCATTTGATGCGCTTGTGCTCAACCACTCTCACTGGCAGAGCTGTGATAATAACACAGGGGGAGGGGAGGGGTACTATATGTCCCACCCTCTCTTTGTGTTTTGGTTGAGATTACGTCAATCATTAAATAAAAATGCACATTTCAAAACACTTCACGAGTCATTTAAGGATTAATATTTCAGTAATTCACCGATTCGTTTCTCTTAAACACAAATATGCTTTGACCGTCTGCATTCTTACACAGTTTTATGGAAAAAGAATTAGTTAGCTAGTCTTCAGCAGGGATTGGAATAACGGAGCTATAAATAAATGAATAATTGTTTTCCCTTCACTACGCTGTTACCAATACTGACAATAAAATGCGCATTACTATAATTGAACACTGAAGCAGTTTTTATGCAAGCAGTGTCTCTCTTAGCTATAGGACCTCTATTTCTGGGGTGGGTGGGTGTTATGGGGTTAGTCACATAACCAACCAGTGATTTGCATATAATATAAGCACTACTTTTCTCTTGTTGAAGTGTCAAGTATGTTTATGTATCCTTCAACTAATGCCCAGGAAAAAAAAGATTCTCTCTGCATAATTCTTTTTTAACCTCATGTTGTCACGTGCCGCCACAAAATTAGTAGCTACGCAGGTGATAACGTGGAGATCTGCTACCAAAGGAGACAAAACTACAGAGTCAAAGCAAATAAAACTGAATTTTTTCCTACCGCAAACACTTATTACTCTATATATGCTCTATATATATATACTCTCTCTCTCCCTCCAATATATATATACTGTGTATATATATATATATATATATATATATATATATATATATATATATATATATATATATATATATATATATATACATATATATATATATTAGTCGAGGACGACATGCTGCATGTTGTATTTCACATTGTCCAACAACAACATCAAAATATTGTAGATTACTGTACAATGTTCAATTTTTGTTTTATAGTCATTTGACAAGTTTCATTTTTTTTAAGTAATGCAATATTACTTTCCCTGCTAATTAGTTACTTTATAATTATGTATTTAGTTACTTACTCAGTTACTATTTTTGAGAAGTAACTAGTGACTTTAACTTTTTTTTTTTTTTTTTAATGCAACGTGCCCAACACTGGTCTTAGTGTAGCTAATCTGAATTGTACTGCTGAAAAGTCTGATTTATTTTATTGAATATTAAAATAAATATTTAAACACTGTTTACTAATTAAGTAAGTGCCTGAAGTATCTTCAATTAACCTATATCAGGTAATCAATTTATCTCATGTTCAGCTGAAAATTTGAATTATTTTAAATTTATCAGTTTATTTTATTGATGCAGCCTATATCAGTGGCTATATCACCCGGTAAATTCTCTAATGTCAATAAAAATGTATTATTTTTAATTTTAAGGTTTTAAAATGTAATAAGCTGTGCACTGTATTTATTTGTGTTTTGTTTTTGTAATATGTATTCATTGGCCTATATATCGAATTTAAAACATTGTTGTCAGTATTAGCCAAAATATTCATATCCATATATTTCCATATGTAGTACTGGAAAAAAAGCATCATTTGTTTTTGAATTAGCTGGTTTCAGAAAAGATCATGATATAGACCATTTTGAGGAATGTAAATGATAACAATGGTTCTAAAGTTTTTCCTGTTTTACATTTTTAATTTCCGTAGCTTCTGAGAATTCAAAAAGAGTCACATATTGATAAATGATGTCATGATAGCTGTTTTAATGTTGAGTTATGATTGAAATGCCTCTTATTACGGTAATGAAACAGTTTGACGGCAAGCAGGAAATGTCCATAGGCCAATCACATGACCACAATGAAATGGTCTATATAGTTTGCATTACTTAAATATCTTACACGTAGCTGGTGATATACCACTGGAAAGTCTGTTTTACTGCTGGAATTTAGTTTCAAATGAGACTTTAAGACACCATAGCATTTAATTAGTGTAGCTAATTTACCATGACCAGTGAATTCAGTAAGAAAGTAGTCATTTAGTTTGAGAAGATAAAAAACTTGTTTTGTGCCTTTGACAACCTTGCTAACCTACCCTATGTTAACAACCTTGCTAACCTACCCTATAGCTCACTATCTGCTTATTCTAGGTCTAAGTGCTCTGTCAATGGGGAGACTCCTCAAACAGTAATAATAAACGTTTAAAATGCACTGTAATACTTTCAAAAATTACAATCACAATATATTTGTTATATATTTGAACAATATATTTGTATTGGTTATGTTTAATCTGTGCTTCTCTGATGATGTCAGGTTGACTGCTTGTGCGAAATATGCATAGCCACGCCCTCCGACTGTTAGTTTGCAGTGAGTGAAAGATGAAAGGAGAAACATAAAAGTAAACCCAGCCCCCTACTCAATATTCAGCTTCAGTTAGAAATACATCATCATACTGAAATAAATCTGCAGCAACTTTCGGAATATCTGACGATAGTTTTTAAGTCATGATGCATCGTGACATATGTAATACTGTTTCTGGGATCAAGCCGCTTCTTGTTTAAATTGAGAAAATATTCGTTTATGCCCACTGTTTAGTCATTTATCACACATTAAAGTGAATTTTATGTAAAATAATGGTGTACATAACAGTTTCTGGACTTTGCTGCATCAAAGACACCAATATTTGAACAATTTACAAAAAAAAAATAAAAAATTATCACTTCCTGACTATCAGAGTGTGATCATGACTTTCAAAAGTATTACATCACTTTATAAACATTGAACATTATTACCAATTGATGGGCCTTCACTTAAAGTTTGATATGTTGTTTTGCGTGGCATCACACTTAACAAGTGGATAAAGAATAGCTTAAGTGCTAAGCTTAGCATTTAGCTTGATAAGCTAATTTCATAGTATCTTCCAGAATAGAAAAGCAAAAAACATGTTTACAAACAGAATCTCACAAATTAGTTTTTGCTGATACTGACTTTGCTAAAACAATTATAATTTTGTATTTTAACCCTAAAATAACCTATTTAACACTATACATTCATCTACGCAAAAATGTATTGAGGTATGCTAGCTCAGTTCCAGACAATACAGTGTTTCAGTTGAGCTTCAAAGCAACTTATGCTGCAACAAAAAGTACACATGCATTCTCAGTACTGCCACAAAGGGGAGCTATAGCTGGCATTAGCATTAGCATTTGCTAACCTTTCTACAGTTTACTCCTTCAGTTTATTTACAGTGAAACACTAATTTACTGTTAGCGTGCCATCATGATGAAACTCACTGAAAATGCAAATATTATGTCTATTTGTAGTTCAACTTACACATCTTTATATATTAATTTTCTTTCTAGCTGAAGATCTACTGTTCTCAGATGAGTTTCTAAAGCTAAACTGACTCTAGAGCAGTGGCTGGGGATTAGAGATTAATAAATTCAACCACTGACCCTTACTGAAAAGTCCACAAATGGTGTATGAGGCTGGAGTTAATGTGTCGTAAATGAGCAGTAATCGTCCTTAACTCCGTCTCTGACCATTAACCTATTTAAAAAGTTTTTTTGAAAAGTGTCTAATGGTATCACAGAGATGCAATTAGAAGGTTTTAAGTTTCCCTGATATGTTACTCATGTGGTTTAAAATTTTACATTGACACCTATGGGTGTGGTTGTACTATACAAACAAATTACTTTCTGAGATAGCAGAAATATCTAAGCTAAAATATCTAGTCTGCTAATCGCACAAAGGCCCAATATGACTTTGAAAGATTTGGATTTTGAACATAATTCATATGAACTACTTTTATGGTCCCCTTTTATAAACCCTCCTATGCTATTTGATTATTTTTTGGGTGAGAATATGTATGATTTAAATAATTATCGCAACAAAAATAATAATAATAACAAAGATAGAATATAAATATAAAAGACTTGGATTTACTCACTCAAGTGAACTACCTTTATGATGCCCTTTTATAAACCCTCAAGTGGTGTTTGGTCATTTTTGTCAGAAAATTTTATCGTTTTGGTAAATAATGTTGATGTTGATTGTTAATTACAAAAAAAATACAAAAAATAATTTAAAGTTTCTTTGAGACACAAATTAGTTTTCGTTATTATAGAAATGTTTATCTTCAAATTTCTAGTCTGCTAATCACATAAAGGCACAATATGAATAAAAAAGATGTGGATTTTTGCAAATAAATCAAATGATATACTTTTATGGCGCCCTTTTATAAGTCTTCAAGTAATGTTTGGTCATTTTTGGCTAAAAATTTGTATGTTTATGTTAACAATGTTAATTGTTAATAACAACAAAAATAATTTTAAAATATTATAAAGTTTCTGTGAGGCATTTACAATAGAGTTTAAGACATTACACTGACACCTATGGGTGTGGATGTACTGTACAAACAAATTAGTTTTCGTGATTATAGAAATATCGATCTTAAAATATCTGGTCTGCTTATCGCACAAAGGAACGCTATGAATATGAAAGATGTGGATTTTTACACATAAATCAAGTTAAATACTTTTTTATGGTGCTCTTTTAATAACCCTCCAGTGCTATTTGGTCATTTTTGGCTGAAAATGTGTATGTTTGAAGTAAATGATGTTGCTAAAAGGCACAATATAAAAACAAAAGACTTGGATTTTTCTACACAAATCAAGTGAACTACTTTTATGGCGCCCTTTTATAAAACTCTCAAGTGGTGTTGAGTCATTTTTGGCTAAACATTAGTTAATAATGTTGGTGTTAATTGAAAAAAATTAAAAAAACATTTTAAAGTTTCTGTGAGGCACTTACAGTGGAGTTTAAACATGACTAATTTAATAACTAAGTTTAATATTATCTAAAACTTAATTATTCTGTTAAAGGAATAGTTCACCTACAGTAATAATGAAAGTTTTCTTCTGTTAAACACATAACATAGACCTACCATGTTCCGTACATAACGATGTTCCGTACAGATTACATTTTTATGCCAAACTATGAATAAATACTTGAGGGTAATTTCTTAGTCTTTTACCCCCAAGCACAACAGACACCCTCCTATATGTTTTCGAGAAAATGTTTGTTACATTCATCTAATGCACTTGAAAATAGACAGTGGGCAAGCTAAAGGGGGTGAGTGTTGCTTGGGAGGGGAAACATTTAGAGCAACGACAATATGCAATTGCATTTAATTTATGCATCACATAGTATTACAGTCTTTATGAAATAAATATGATGTTATTACAAATTGTTAAATAGATTATCTTTTGTTTAATAAATGCTTTATTAATTTTAATTTAAAGTTTAAATATTTAAAATTGTCATGCTGTAATAAAATAAACATGATATGAAAATTATTGTAAAGTTATTTCATTTCAAAATTTCATAATAAAAGTTATTAAATCTAACATTAACTTCAAGTTAAACACAAAAATAGTATATTCTGATGTTGGTTTTTACTAAGACTTCAAACAATGTCTGTTTTTGCAGATTAATTAAAGTTATGTGGTCTGTACAGAACACTATTTTAATCCTGTACAGAACACCATTAACACTCTTATGTTCATATCTGTAGGTGGATATTTACTCAAAAATACTAGTCCAAAAGACATCAGTCAAAATTCAGATTGTGCATTAGGTATCCACCCAGAGCATGACACAAACATGCTTATTTGGCTTTCAATTACATGTTTAGTGGTTTCAGTGGTCATCTGAGTGTGCTGACTAGTAAAAAGTGTACAGAACATGGTTAGTCTATGTTATAAATATTTTAAGAAATGCCAATTTCTTGCATCTGTTCTTAGTTTAACAGAAGAAAGAAACTCAAACACATTTCGAACAAAAGAAGGGTAAGTAAACAACTTAATTTTAAGGTGAACTATCCCTTTAAAATGTATTATTAGTTGCTTGCAAATTCGTAAAAAGGCAGTCTACTCTACCCAGAAAAGGATAAGAAAGCGAAAACCATTTTATAAATGGCTGAAAACAGAAAGGAAGACTGCATGCGTGTGTGTTTGACCTGTAGGTTCCTGTAGTGAATTGTACTCCGGCAGTGCGACGTCTTGGCAGTTTGTTCGCTGGTGTAAAACAAGCCACAAAGGTTACAATAAAACCCCGTCCTCGGCACGATGAACTCCACACCTGCCAAAACAACAAAATAAACAAACGTAAGTCAAAAAATACGCCCTACCGCCACCTCCACACATTGATCTCTGCATCTAAGTGTGTGCAGGGGTGTAAATGCAGCTCTTCTGTGGAGGAATGAAGTGTGTTAGCGGTGTGGTAATGAGTACACAAGCTCAGGCCTCGGGGGTGCAATTCACACCTCACTCAACAGGATGACAAATGCTCTACTGACATCAACCGGCCTTAAAGGCTTCAGTTTCCCACTGAGAGCCCACAGCAGAGCTGATCAGAAGCCTCCGCTTGTTACAAGATCCTCAAAGTGCTCTGAAATGCACAGTTTTGTTCAACGTTTGAAGAAATTTCAGCTGATACTCCATTCACAGTACACTCAAAAAATACTTTTGGTGCTTGTTCAAACTAATATGGTTTAAATAAGCTGAAGCAACACAATTCTTGAGTTTTTTGAGACTTAATAGTTAAAGGGCACCTATTATGAAAATGTTTTGACAGAACTGTGTGTATATATAGTTTGTCCACAGTCATATTGGTTTTATAGGTCCACAATAAGTCTCTGTTTTTAAATTTCCTGACGTTAAAACAGGATCCAAATCCCTTCCATTTCTAGGCCCCTTACAAGGTGACGTGGGAGTGCGGTTTCCTCACCCACCTAATTGATTGACAGCTGCATAATAACATGTCTTCGTAATAACACTTATAATCATATGGATGACAGTGCACAGAGCAACTGAGATTAAAATATCTGTTCAGCTCTCTGTGATCATCAATCGTCATCAAATGTGATCAAGAATGAGTTTTACAAATTCACAACATTTTTAAAACAATGCATGTTTATAATCTTTACTTTATCCCCACAGCCACATGTCAGTACAGTTATAAAAGAAGACGCTTCAATCCCGGTTTGTGGATGTTAAATCTGTATTTATTTATTTTTTTGTCTGTTTAATAGAATGGATATCCATACAGCAGTGGATATAAACGTGTATCCTGTCACATTTGCCGTGCAAAAACAGTGCAAAGTAAAATGCTTGTGCGTGTGTGAACTTTGTAACGACATTGTGTGTGACTTATCATTGCAGCTCCACAACAAATACATCAAATAATCATTGGTAAAGTTCTTGCTGTAGTTTTTCTCACAAACGTTACGTGATATCTGCTTCCTTCATATCTGCCACTGTGCTGTTTATCTGACGCAGCCAAGCAGACATTGAGGCACACTCGGACAGGCATGTTGGAATGGTGGGTGGGGAGAACTAGCATTAAAGGCACAGGCAATGAAAACAGCTACAATGTGTTCAGAGCAGAAAATCCAATATTTTGAGAGACAATAAATAATCTACTGGGTGTTTTAAGCTGAAACTTTACAGACACATTCTGGAGACACAAAAGACTTCTGTTAAATCTTGAAAAAGGGGTAAGATGGTTGAAATCTTCAAAAACCTTTAAATCTACTTAAAATTTGTAAAACAATCAAGTTCACAATCGATTTGTGTTGGAACAACATGGAGGAACTGTGTGGAATCCAGTATTTTTTTTTTTACAATGTAATGCAGTTTAATTTAAAAGTGCAAATTTTTTCTTTCTGTTTGGCTATCTATTCAAGTTCTGTTTCAAAATGCAGAACTTTTGCTAGTTGTGCCTTTCATCCACACTACCTACAGCAAGGCTATTCAATTGGTGGCTCGCGGGTCAAGTTTGGCAATTTGTTCCGGCCCTTTAAATAGTGTGACCAAGACATCAAAAATGAATTTAGTTCTGTCGAAAAACGGTCGCTATAGTTATGAAGTGATGTGCATCTGTTCAATACAGCACGACCTGCAGTTGAAGGCTGCACAGAATCACCTGACATTAAGGCCCCGGTTACACTAATGCGTTTTAGTTTGAAAACGAATAAGTTTTGCTACAGTTACGCCATCCGTCCACACTACGCCGGAGTTCTCGAGCGCCGAAAACGGAGCGTTTCGAAAACGCTGGAGAGGCCGTTTTCATGCTGAAACGCTGCTGCTCCGTCTCAGTGGGGATGATGGAAAACGGAGACATCTGAAAACGGAGGCGGGGCTGCAGACATTCGCCTCTCTGATTGGGGCTTTTCCTGAATATTAAGTAGCCTAACACACACAGTTCAGTCCTGCATCTTCTTCGTGTAAGTTAAGACTTCGCAAGTTTGATCATGGCTGCAGTCTCTTCTTTTCAGTTTGATATGGAAAACAGACTATACCGAGGACACGGGTAAATCTTCAAAGGGAACAGTGTACTTTATAACTTCATTCACATCCCCCTGGCTACGTTGTTTCACTTTCTCAACAATAAAATGTAAACATGGTATACAGAACTGCCTATTTTCATTTTAATATTAACAACTTAACAGACAGCAGAAATGTTGAGGCGTCGTGCTGCATGAGCGTCATCTTCACTGTGTAGATATTTATAAGAAAACGGAGCCTATAACAACTGCCTCCTTTCAATTTCAGTGAAAATACGAAACCCTCTCTTTTGGTGAATATCAGTTTTAATAATCGATAATGGCCATTATAAAAGTATAACATACAATAAGTTTATACATTATAGGAAATAAAGGCAAGCGATCAGTCAATATGCAGAATGTACGTGCTTATTAACTTATCTTTGCGCTCAGCCAAAAGACGTTACCTGAGAACAAGTAATAGATTCCAGTGACCAAAGTCAGGGAATATGTCGTTAGATAAAGACAACAAGATGAATAAAATATCCCGATTAATAAATATAGTGAGATTAGATCCAGCGGGAGATGCTTGATGAGAAGTCTGACTAGCAGAGCTCTCATCAGCGCTTGGCTGAGAGTGTGTGTGTGGTCACGTGATGTGCGTTTTCAGCGTTTTGGTGTGGACGGAGAGCAGTTCAGAAACGCTGGGTAAAACGCGAGTGTGGACGCGGATCGTTTTCATTTTAAAACGCCGTTTTAAAACTAAAATGCACTAGTGTAAACGGGGCCTAAGAGAGTGAGTGGGACGGGCAGCCAAAAACATTTGGATGCTTAAGCCTAAAGGCCTCTCAACGCCACGGAACAAAACTGCTGCAACTAAACAAAGTTATACCACCTGTGCGCTAGTATAAAGTTCAGAGCTTATACACCAAGGCTCATACGCATGCACACTTGATTAATTATAGGAGCAGACCATTCACGTATTGTGTCTTTTCCATGTGCAAGTTTGTAATTTCCAATGTAAGAGTAAATGCCAATATGTGTGCACAAGCGGAGCAATGCGCTTGGAAGCTTGCAAGTGGAAAACATCTCACGGTGAGAGCTGTGCATGGCTTTAACAAAAGATATGTTAGATGAATTATTACAAATTATTAATGTGATTATGTATGTATGAACAGACGATAACAGCAGTTCATTTAAATAGTTACCTATTATAAAGCTTATGTTTACATTAGACATGATAACCGTGAAATTGTGATTATTCTTCAGACTATAATCGTACAACCAAAATCTGTAGAAAAATACAATGTGGGTGTCTTAAGGAGCAAAAATACAACATATGGGCTCTTATATGCTGTTGCAAGTCATATCTCTCTGGCCCCTCATTTGTGATGCTTTTCATGAACTGGCCCTAATGACAAACTAACTGAATAGCCCTTACCTACAGCTTTCAACAAATAAAAATGGACAACAAATGCTGTAGAGGCCATTTTCGCATGGAAGCAGGTGCTCTGTGTCAGTGTGAATGGACCAAAATGGAGACTTTTTGGAGAAAAGGGAAAATAGACAAACATTTGTTCCCCGATTTGTGTTGGGTCCTAATTTGCATAATTTTACTACATCCTGAAAGTATGTACTATGTTTTTGAAGAAAAAGTACATGTTTTTGAGTGTGTAACAGAAGAGTATTTAGGCCTTAAGACATGCTACTTCCTCATTAATGGACCGGTATGTTGCTTAGTTATGTTCCTCCATCAATTATCTCAACAGCATTCGGATTTCTTGAATGATTCATGTTTAATTACCTATCTTATTGGAGAAGCAGCAGCAGGTCAATCTGCCATTTGTGAGTCTTTCATGCAGAGAAATCTCTTCAGGTGTTTGAGTAATTGTGCATTTAGAAGTTCATTTCCAACGTTATATAAATTTACATTGTTGTTGCAGATGAAATAAAACATGATTTAATTATTTTCCAGTTGGCCAGATATTAATTAATAGTCCTTTACACAACTTTACTGATGACTCTCTACTTGTCTGATGGTCTTATATACGCCAACCATGTTTGTAGCTTGTTTACACTTTTTATTCGAGTTTGTAGTTCTGATCGAATTCACATCCAATGTACTGTGGGCAATATTAGCTGTTAAAGTAGGGACAGTTCTACACTTCAAATTTCTAACAGAAATAGTTGACCATCTGGGAGCCTATGGCCTTCAACCTACTCTGGTTGGGATATTCAATTATTTTCCTTCATTTTCATTCATCAGGAATCGGCAAAGCACTATGAACCGCCAACTAATCCGGCATATGTTTTACACAGCGGATGCCCTACAAGTCACAACCCAGTACTGTGAAACACCCATACACTCTTGCACATTCACACACGAACTCGTACACTACGGCCAATTTAGTTTACCCAATTCACTTATACTCATATACTATATACATATACTACACTTATACTATGTCTTTGGACTGTTGGGTAAACTGGAAAAGAGACAGCATGCAAACTCTACACAGAAATGCTAACTGGTCCAGCTGAAACTCGAATCAGTGACCTTCTTGCTGTGAGGCGACAGATCTAACTACTGAGCTACCGTGAGGCCAGTTTGGGACATACTTATTCTATTTTTGAATACTATTTAGGATGAATAGTATGCGAATTGGGACGCAACCCTTAGTCTTCTACAATCAGTTTTAATATTTTTGATTGGCACAGCCATCTTGTATTTATTTGTTACTTTAAGTAATGATTCAACATCATCGTTAGTCCTCTAATCTTCATTGTTCAACAAGTCAGTGTTGTTGACAAGCAACTAAATGTTGTGTAAAGCACATACTTCCTGTTTATACTTGAACACGCATGTCGAGAGTCCATGTACACAGCCACAGTCATATCACCCTGCACCCCAAGACCGGTTACTCACTGAAGCTAAGCAGGGCTGAGCCTGGTCAGTACCTGGATGGGAGAGCAAATGGGAAAACTAGATTGCTGTTGGAAGTGTTGTTAGCAAGACCAGCAGGGCTGGTCTGTGTGAGTCCTGAAGCCCCAGTAAAAGTGAAGGGGACACTACACTGTCAGTGGGCGCCGTCTTTTGTATGAGACATTAAACCGAGGTCCTGACTCATAAAAAAAAAAACACATGGCGCTTCCATACCTGTCAACCCTCCCGTTTTCTCGAGATTCTCCCGTATTTTACAATTCTATCCCGCTATCATCCCGTAAAGGTATTTTCCCGTATTTCTCCCATCTTTTTCTGAAGGGTGGCAGATAAACATTAAAGAGCCGATCCTCTTTGTTAAGACATGAAAACACTTTGAAATAAATATAAAAACAGCAAGATACCCTTCATTTTCATTACAGGTGCCGTCCCCCCTTCATAAGCAATACTCAAAACAGTCATATAGCAGTGCATGGCTGTCAGCTGACGCGCTCCATAGTGATAAATAGATGCTGTTTCCGCTGATTCTGTACACCCAATTTGAAGTGAAGTTAAAGTCTAGGTTTTGGGTGTGTGTTTAAACAGACATTTACACATAACTAATAATAATAACATCTAAAGATGTCGATCTTGGAGTTTTTTTTTTTTCAAACACAACTAATTTTGTCCTAAATGAGCATAAAAAGTTGGGAAAGTAATCAAATGGCTGGGGGTGGATCCCTTTTTATAGTGGGCATATCCCTTATTTTCACATCCCAATGTTGAGAGATGTGCACTTCTTGTAAAGAGTAGGGGTGTAACCCCGGTGTCCTGGCCAAAGTCCCTCAATCGGCTCTTACAATCATGGCCTCACACCAATAGCTGGTGTGGGTGAGCGCACTAGCGCCGTTGTCCTGTGGCTGCCGTCGCATCATCCAAGTGGATACTGCACACTGGTGGTGGTGTAGAGAGACCCCCCTCATGATTGTGAAGCGCTTTGGGTGTATGGCCATACACAATAAATGCGCTATATAAATACACATTACATTACATGTAAGCTCACATGATGTCCCATTTTTCAGTGTTTTTTTATTTTTATAGTGTGAACGGAGATCTTTTCAGAAGTGCTGGATGACACGCCAGTGTGGACGTGGTTCATTTTTGTTCTAAAACGCTGTTTCAAATCTAAAATGCATTAGTGTAAATGAGGCCTGAGACATTGTTTTTAAAATGCCCTCCAAAGTGGATACTTGAAAATGTAGTCTTCATGTCACAGTGTGGAATTTGAAAACAGAGGCTGCATCCGAAATGGCATCCCAGCTAGCAAAGAATTCTGTCCCAGATTTGGCAAAAAGCTGGCACAGGAGGCATTCATCAAGCACTAGCATACAGCATGAGGGTCAAACATGGCCCAGGTTTGGCAGACGTGGCACCGTCTATAAGGCGGCACACAAGATTTGGACCAGATGTAAAATGTAGTATTTGGCCCAGAAGTTAATAATCGATATGTGGGCCATGTAAGTTTGGCCTGTGTTGACCCACATTTAAAATACATTGAAATTATTTTTGGGGTAAAGAAAAACATTCTACAAATAAGGTTGCCTTGAGAAAAAGCACGCCTATAGTGTGCCTAAAGCACGCTGCTTCATAGGTTTATAAATTTTATTGCAATTGTGAAACACCAACATATCTGGCCCAGTTCAGGCCCAATTATGAGTTATTAACTTGGCTAGGACTTGGCCCAGATATGGTCCAGGTTTGGCCCTTGTCTGGAAGTCAGACTTGGTCCTGTCATGTACCGTAATTCATTGTGGTATGTGGGCCAAGCAAAACATGATTGTGTGGGCCAGAGCTGGGCCAGAGAAATTCTGCTATGTGGGATGCTTCCACACTATATTATGCGCTAAAAACAGTATGCAAGCCGAGTAGTATGTCCGAATTCATAGAATAGTAGGTGAGTAGGCGAGATGTACGCAGATGACCTAATACTTCCGGTGACATTCTGAAGTGCACATCCGATGGACACTATGCTGTCACTATGATGCACTGTAAAAGAATTCATGGATATAGGTAAAGCAATGCAACTGACGCAGGTAGATCACATGATAACCACTAATGGCGGATCTGTTTATACTACTCGCATTCATACTATATAGAACGAACTTGTCTAATGGTCGTGTAGTAAATTCAAATGTAGTACATACATGAGTAGTAGGCGATTTCGGACACAGCCAGTGGCTTTCGAAAACAATGACAAATTTTTAATCATTTGACCAATTCAGCTAAAATGGTGAAGGACATTGTACAGTAGTTGTTTCGGACGCTCTCTTGGTTTATGTAGCATTGTAAAAGGAGCATGAAACCCCCGTCTTTCAACTGTCATCTGTCAGTGATCCATACAGTCCCGAGATAGTGATTAACAGCTATTGAATCTTCTCAATTCAAATAAATAAAGTCTGTGTGGAGTCATGGTGGGTGTACCTAATGGTATGCTGTGTTCACTGATGGCCTTCTCCTGCTCCTGAGAGGGCGACGCAGCCGAGATGTCTGATGCCTGAGGTGAAGCGGCCAATAATGGGTCAGGAATATCTAGAGGAGAAAATGGATGAGGAAAAACAAATATCAAGACATCAGATTTTCCCTTTTTGTCAGATCTCTTCCTGTGCCGTTTATAACTTTAAGGATGTTCTAGTGGATTGCTAGAGCATTGCTGTGTTGTTTTTGCTGGTTGCTAGTGTAGTGTGTTGTTGTGGAGTTGCTGAGTAGCTTTGGGCGGTGGCATGTAGTTGCAATCTGGTTATTGGCAGTTGCTAGGGTGTGGTTCCAAGTGGTTTTGAGTGGGGTGCTAAGGTGCTGCTCTGAAACTGCAGATTGATTTTGGTGCTTTGCAATTGCTGAGTGATTTTGGGTGGTTGCTAGGGGGTTGATGTGTAGTGCCAAGTGGTTTTGGGAGGGTTTCTAAGGTGATGCTGTGCAATTGCAGAATGATTTTGGATAGTCGCTAAGGAATTGTTGCGTGATTGCCAAGTGGTTTTGGGAGGGTTGCTAGGATGCTGCTGTGCAATTGCAGAGTGATTTTGTATGGCTGCTTGGGGGTTGATGTGCAATTGCAGAGTGATTTTGGGTGGTTGCTAGGTGGTTGTTGTATGGTTTCTGGTTGGTTTTGTGAGGGTTGTTATGCTGTGTTCACACCAGACGCGGAACGCGTGGATAAATTGTGGTATTCGCGCATCAATAGCCGCGTGAACATTCGAGTTTACTCGCTTCATTTGCGCATCAAATCCGTTTCATTCTTGCGTCAAATTCACTTCAGAACAGACGTAGATTCGCGTGATGGGCAGGGCTACTGTCTACCCAGTGACTTTAGCTTCATTCCTAAACGGCAAACATGGATTTTATCAAGAAAATAACAGTGTTTATGTGCTTTATGAAGGCTAAAAAACAGCATCGATACGTTTAAGGGCATGTCTGAGTCTACTAGATCCTTTCAGAGGTGCATCAAGCTCTTTGAGTTTTATAAACTCCTCCAGAAACTTAACCTGGATGATGGAGGCATTCAGCGGTGCTTCTGACAGAGCCGAGCCCAGTTTGATGAACTGTTGTCGGTGTCGGCTGGAGGATTTCACCCGGGACACCAACAACAGGCGCTCGTCACTACAGTGCTGCTGTGCAATTCCAGAGTAATTCTGGGTGGTTGCTAGGTGGTTGTCAAGCGGTTTTGATTGCTGCTTTAAATGCATGAGCCCTATTGCAATGTATTCTAAAGGCTGTAGTTGTTTACTGTTTATCATCTTGAGAACGTTCACTATGAAACTGATTCCAACAATAACGTAAACATTATATCTGTGGCCTGTTGCGTGTACCTTTCTTCTGACTGTCCAGTTTGAGAGATGCTTCCTTGTTGTCCATCTCCGCCGTCTTCCCCTCATCATTACTGGAGTCTGTCATCTTCTCCCCTGCAACTCTATTTTCTGGGGGATCGTCTGGGGTGTGTGTGTGGATGTGTGTTCTGCCGTCTGTGCAGGTCTCCTCCAAAGCGCTCCTGAACTCTTGGGATGGGAAGCGGTTGAGCTGAGAGACCATCTGCTCTGGGATGATTGCTGGTTCTCCAGGGCTGGACTGAGGACATCCAGAGGTTTCTTCAAGGCTCAGATCCAGTGCTGGAGGGTCAGGGGGGTCGACCACGGGCTCTTCTGCTGCTTCGGTTGGGGATTTTGCAGTGGTTTTAGGGCTCTCTGCTGTTGACAGAACAGACTCGACTCTCTGGTGGTCCTCTAGAAGATCAGGTAGATCAGGTTCAACTATTGAGTCGTCTTCTCCTCCTACTTCATCCACAGTCACCAGTTCCTCCATGCTTTTAGGATACCAGCTCTCCTCCTCCTCTCCATCGTCTCCACTGTCCTGCGCCTGACCACCAGAAAGAGTCTTAATATGTGAGACATTTACATTTTTAAGTTGATGCACATTAACTTTCAAAGTTATTGGAAAATATAAAAAATAAATAAAATAAAATAATAATAATAGTTTTTTACATCGCTTTTATAGACACTCAAAGCGCTTTACACATTTTTGGGGGGGGAATCTCCCCATCCACCACCAGTGTGCAGTATCCAGCTGGATAAAGCGATGGCAGCCATATTGCGCCAGACCACACGCACTAGCTGATTGGTGAAGTGATGAAGCCGATTATGATATGGTGATAATTAGGAAGCCATGATGGACAGAGGCCAGTGGGCAAACTTGACCCCTACTCTTTATCAAAGGACATCCTGGGATTTTTAACAACCACAGTGAGTCAGGACCTCAGTTTACCATCCAAAAGACAGAGCTCCATGAGCAGTATAGAGTCCCTATCAACATACTGGGGCGTTAGGACCATAGACTGTAAAATATATGGACGTATTGTCCGTGACGTCACCCATAGGTTTCTGAAGAGCGCAAAAGAAGCCACAAGTAGGCGTGGCTAACCGTCGCCATTTTGTTCGCGCGTCATCGCACGCACGGCGGGATACCAAACAAGGGCAAAGAGGCGGAGAGTGAGCGGAGCTACAGTCACCTGCTGGCATTTTGCTTGGACCTGGCTTAGGCACACTTTACTTTGGGAAAACGCTTAATACTTTATCACCTGTAACTCGGTTGTGTTCTGACCACATGCGCTTGGCTGTACACTATATCAATCAAGTGTTTAGACCTTTAAAAATACTGTAGTAATACATTGAACCACTAAGTATTATACTTCCAAACACTTCAGATATAGTCTGTGTTAGTAAATGCAAGGCTGTTGATGACATCTAGCATAACACTGTATGATAACACTTCAGATGACTGTTCTACAGTCCACATCTAATCAATCTGTCAGATTCTGGAGTGCTTTACAGCTCTAAAGAACATTATAAATGATCTTAAATAAAACAAATACATTTATAGAGATGGTTTACAAGTATATAACTTTACTCACATGGGAAACGGAGGCCACGTGAATGTTTTGTGAGCACAATTAAGAGCACACAGCTCCCATATCATCTGATAATTGTAGGAAATAAGTCCAAAAGGCAACTGACAGTGTAAACCCACATAAAACAAAACAAAAATAGGATGAATATGCCGAAATCAGTGGCTAATCTCGAGGAGTCAGCTAAGGTGAAGTGACAGTGACCACTGAGACCTAGCTGTCAATCAAGTGGCCACGCCCTTAATTATGCAAACTTAATATAACCTAATTTAAAGGAAACTGATGAGTTATAAAAAAAATTCACCCCCCTCACAGTTGTCATGAAGGGTAATATTAGCTGTATGAACCAAAATTGTTCTTTGTACTAGGCTGTAAACAACTTTTTTTCTGCTGTAAAGTTGCCCATTCTAACAGTGGGCTCAATTAAACTTTGCTCTATTATGGAGCCAGGACTAGCGGAATTTCGATGAATTGCAGTTTCAGTTACTTCCATATTGGCCTCCTGAGGGAGAGCGGGAGGTTGCCGCAGGTTGAGCGCACCCTGCTGGTCTAACTAACACCACGTCTGGCAGCAACCTTTCCCTTGTGGTCTCCCATCCAGGTACTGACTAGTAGCTTTAGTGGGCGACCATGTGAGAGAAGCAGAGAGCTAGCCGCCAGTTTTTTGTAATCAATTTTATTAGGTTAACATTGTTGTTGCTTACACAAAATTTAACTTGATGTTTTAAATCAGTTTGATGTCATTTGAAATGATTTTGGTACTTAAAATTTAGGCAGCAACTAATTTGTAAATTAGTAAATACATTTTTTCACACAATACTGTAACAGATAAATACATTTTAAATTAAGTAAACCCCAAAAACCTCACTAAATAACAATTTTAAGGATTAAAATAGCTGGTCAAATTATAAATGAATAAACAAATGTTTTACCTCAGAGTCACCAAGTTTGTCACACTTTGAGGACTCAGCAGGTTTGCTGTTAGGAGGAGATTCCGATATTTCTTTGGCTTTATGTTCTTCTTTCTGTAAAAAATAAAAAGTAGTGGCATTAAAATATTGTCTGTAGTAATATAATATAATATAATATAATATAATATAATATAATATAATATAATATAATATAATATAATATAATATAATATAATATAATAATTAATTCATTTTCTTGTCAGCTTAGTCCCTTTATTAATCCGGGGTCGCCACAGCGGAATGAACCGTCAACTTATCCAGCTAGTTTTTACGCAGCAGATGCCCTTCCAGCCGCAACCCATCTCTGGGAAACATCCACTCACACATTCACACAAATACTTATACACTAGGGACAATTTAGCCTACCCAATTCACCTGTACCACATGTCTTTGGACTGTGGGGGAAACCGGAGCACCCAGAGGAAACCCATGCAAAGGCAGGGAGAACATGCAAACTCCACACAGAAACGCCAACTGAGCCGAGGTTCGAACCAGCGACCCAGCAACCTTCTTGCTGTGAGGCGACAACACTACCTACTGTGCCACTGCCTCACCCTATAATATAATAATATAATATAATATAATATAATATAATATAATATAATATAATATAATATAATATAATATAATATATGTAAACATGTTTTAGGGAAAAATAAATATTATTATTTATATATAATCTAAATTTGCATAATTCTTATATTTATTGCTTAATATTCAAAACTCTAAAAATATGTTTCATTTGAAACTATATATATACAATATTGCAACATAATTAAATAAAATATATTTTTAAAAGATTATACATTTTAAATGCAAAATACTTTAACAAAAAATAAATATAGCATCTAATTTTGTATTAATTTTATATTTTTATTTATTAAAATATATGTGATCCTTTTGTTTCAGTTTACAATCTTTAAATGCAGTATAATATTTCAAGCTTATTAACATTTATCAATATTTCTTGATAAAACAGTACAAAATTTGACTTTAAGTGTCAATATATTTAATAATATAAAATAAAATCACATTAACTTTTATTAAACATATGATCTACATTTTATATGTCATTGATATTTTAAATTTTCATATTATTTAGTAATAAATCACATCCTTTATATTTAATGCTTAAAATAATAATAATAATCTGATATAAATATTTAAGATTCAGCTGAAATGTCCAACACATAATATACACAGTTGTAAAATGTGCAAGAGGACATGCCTGATTTTCCGTCTCCTTCTCGGGTCTCCGGCTCGTCCTCTTGCTGCGTCCTCTGTCCTCAAGTGTCCGACTGCAGCTCATATCATCCGTCAGGTCTGACTCAGAGTGTCGAGATCTATGATAATCTTCCCTTCTCTTGGTCTTCCCTTCATGTCTCTGATGCTGCGTCCTCAGTTTATCGCTCTTATACAGCGAGTCCTTCTTGTAAAAGTCATCTACGGAGTGGTAAGAGTACCAGTCTCTGCCCCGCTCGTCCCCGGGACCCATTCGAGGACTGATGCGCTCGCCGGGTTTAAGGTATGGTTTCCTGCGCTCTGACAGCCATCCATTTGGTCGATCATCCTCTTCGTTCCTCCAGTCGTCTCTAGGGTCATCGTCCCCTCTTGAATGGGATGTCCAGTCCCAGGAGGGCCGCCGGGGGCCCATGCCGTTACTCCAGTCGGGCCGACAGGATGGTCCCGGTGGACTGTGGGCAGAGCTGCAGGAGGTGAAACTGGGACTGTGCGAACGAGGACTCAGAGATCGACTGATGGGACTGCGGGATCGAGCACGCTCTGGCAGATACCTACAAAAAAATACAACAGAGATCATCACTATGTTTTCATTTATGTGTCTGGTTGGTTTAATGAAATTGTAAAAAACACAAAACTTCACTTATATATTCGGATATTCTAATGCTGGCACAAACAGCTATTAGTGATGAGAAGCTTAAGAGATGAGAGAGACGTTTTCCGCAGAGAGTTTAAAGAGGTCAAGGGCGACATACTGAGGTGGGTCAGCCATCAGGATGACATGGTCCAGATGACACTTCGAACAAATTGCTACAATCGCAACCTAGAAGAAGCATGGGAGCGTTTTCTTTAAATAAACATGCCATTCGCCAGCTAAAAAAATTGACTTTGGAGGCCCAAATGTTGATTTACATGTTTAATGATATACTACTAGCCATCCTGACATAGATATAATCAGCAGTAAAATACTTATGCAACTTATAACATCAAAGGCTTGAATACTGTATAAAAGACTGAAGCATACAAACCAGCAGTGCGCTTAAACAGACTTCTATATACTGTAAGTCTTAGGCCCTTTATTCTCAGCGGAGGATGATTTTGATTTCAGATTTTGTTTTGTTCTTGTATTTGTTTTATCCTTCTTTTTCACTGGATTTAATTTATTAATAAAAGTGTGCTTTATTCTATTTTTTCACCGGAGTGGATACTAGCTTCATTTGCAAAACCCATTTAGATACCTTGTGTGGTAAGGTATGAATCTAATTATTCCTTGAACAACATTACAAAAGACGGTCCTAAACAAAACTGGGTAAGAAATATAGCCAAGAAAGGGTTCTATTTTAAATTTAATTAAGATGGTAAATAACAAAATAAGCATCGCCCCCTAATCAATATTTCATTTTAGTTGGAAGTACGTCAACATACTGAAATAGAAGTTTCAGTATCTTACGATTCATGCGAATTTCAAAAGAAATGCCAGGATGTGCAAACATTTGAACAATGCAAATAAAATAATGTATGCGCACAACCGAGTAGGATAAACTAAAATATATTGATAATTGATAAGAATTGTGCTACGACTACGATGGAAAATAAACATTTTACAAAAATAACACAAATATTGACAATTCGTCACCTTAGAATTATAAGGTTCTATCTGACATTTTTGTCAAAATTGAGTTATTGACATATTTTTATTAAATGACAACTTATTTACATTATGTGATGTTTTTTTTTATATAAGTTGTTTAAATTTTAAGACTTTTTATTTAAAAAACAAAAAAGGTTTTACAATAATATGTATACAATATGGTTATTATAATGATATTTATACATGACCAAACTTGTGTGCAACTTAAGCAAAACTAATACTATTGTTTTACACTTAGTTTTGTAGTTCTGCCCAAATAAATATTTGTTGCATTATTTAATTAAGTTTATTTAATTGACTATGTACAATCTTTAATCTATGTTTGATGTTTCATTGTTGAGTTAAAACATCTTTAAGGGTCTCTGACACACTGTTTTTATTATTTATCTTTATTTTATTACAGTTTTTCTCAGTCGCTTTGGTGCATTTCTCACAACACTAGTGCATTTCTGCACAACAGTTAATGCATCTCTCAAAACAATTAGTACAAACTGCAAAACCTAGTTGAGAACCTGCAAAAGCGTGTCACATGCTGAAAATGGATAGTTCATTCCTCAAAAGCAAGTATTCATGTTAATAAACGTGTCAGTGTCATCAAAATGAAAAGTCCTGACATCATTGTTTATGAACAAGATAGTCAAATGGCTTTGTCATGTTTCCATTATGACAGTTTACTCTGGACATTTTTTCCAATGCTAAAAAGTCAGATTTTGGTGACACCTCCTGAAAATGCTCAAGACAGCACTATATACTGTTTGCACAGCCATTTGAAAACTACAGTAAAGTTAGACATCACTGCATTTAGTGAGGTGTCTGAGTACAAGACACTGAATATGTATGTCTCACATTTTTACTCTGCATTTGCTCTTTGCAATTCTAATTTATTCACAGCATTGTGCAAAAGAATACATACATCCTTATTTACAACAAACATAATCTTTCTTTGGGTAGAGTTGTGCACATTTGTAAACAATATTGCACAACATATTGGAACTGAGCCTACAACATACACAGGTCTGTAAATCACTCATAAAATTGTTAAATTTTTAAGACATTTTCAGGAAAATAATGATTTATTATTTTTTTTATACATTAAATTTGCAAGACAGATTTTGACAACTAGTTCATCATTTTTGTATGTAATGACTCAAGTAATAAAATGAGGACTATTACTTTTATATGGGATGACTACTCAGCATTTACAAGTTTAGTTAATTTTGACTGACATGACATAAGCAAATGATAATGTTATAAACAGCAGAGAGTTGTATGAAAGCAATTGATGAATGTCCAAAAGCATCTGCAATTTGTTGGAAGGACTGAGAAACTGCTACTAGGATGTGCACAACTGACTAATTGTTTTGAGAAATGCATTAACTGTTGTGCAAATGTAAATAGTGTTGTGAGAAATGCACCAAAGCCACTGAGAAAAACTGCAATCAACAATAACTGTGTGCATCAGTAGGCAGTTTTTGTTAAGTTGATTATTTAAGGGCGTGCACAGATGGGGAGCATTTTGATCGATGTAGTGGGCCGCTCTGCACAAATGACCAATTGTTTTGGGAAATGCATTAACTGTTGTGCGCATGTAATATAGTGTTGTGAGAAATGCACTAAAGCGACTGAGAAAAATTGTAATAAATAATATAATTTTCCACAAATTTTTGGAAATTAATCTTGCCTTGTCATAAAAAGGTAAAGCTACTTCTATATCTACTATGTCAAGCTGAGTTTAGTAATAGATAGACAGACGGACGGATGGACGGACGGAAGGACCAAGCTGAGTTTTGTAATAGATAGACAGACGGACGGACGGACGGACGGACGGACGGACGGACGGACGGACGGACGGACGGACGGACGGACGGACAGACAGACAGACAGACAGACAGACAGACAGACAGACAGACAGACAGACAGACAGACAGACAGACAGACAGACAGATAGATAGATAGATGATGGACGGACGGACGGACGGACGGACGGACGGACGGACGGACGGACGGACGGACGGACGGACAGACAGACAGACAGACAGACAGACAGACAGACAGACAGACAGACAGACAGACAGACAGACAGACAGACAGACAGATAGATAGATAGATAGATAGATAGATAGATAGATAGATAGATCGATAGATAGATGAATGGACAGATGAATGGATGGACAAAGACAGACAATTAGACAGATAGAAAAAATACTAAATTAAGTAATTGAAAATAACAGTTTACTTAAATTTATATTAAAAATGTTACATTTGTTTATTAATATAAAAAATAGAAAGTGTCTTTAATTTCGAGATGATATTTTATCAAATGAATCTCTAGTAAAATCTAATAACTATATTAATCTAATAAGTGATAAACAATTTAACGACTTATTAGGGTCTCCACCACAACTTACAGTAGATTTGAAGGACAATAGTTATTGAAACGTTAATATGCAGTGATGTTTATTTTTACTGACCCGGTATGAATAATACAGCAGGTTGGGGTCACTTTTACAGCAACAAACTTATCAAAAATAAAAAAAACACAGCAATAACAAAAAAAAAAAGAGTTTCACCTGTCAGTCTCCTGCATCTCGTCTCTCTCTCTCTGTGAATTGATGTCTTGGATTATTGAATCGACGTCTTTTCCTGGTTTCTGGATGAGAAATGAAAACACTTGAGTTTAGTTTGTTCAGATAAGTTGGTCTTCTTGAAGTGAGACGTCTCTTACCTTCAGCTGCAGCTCTTTGTATCTCTTCGACATGCGGATCAGCAGTTTCTGTCCGTTAATAGTGGCTGGCTGGAGCTGATAATACTGAACCATAGCCTGAGCCGCTTCCACATACGCCATCTCTAGAAAAGCCTGAATCAAACGCAAAACAGCAAAATCAGAGTTAAGCACTTGACAGCCCTGTAGTATAAATTCTTGATATTTAACATGCAACAACACAATCAAATTCAATTTCTCATCAACACTGAAATATTTTACTTTCTGCATCATATGTTTTTGGTGTGGTTGACGTGTAACACATCGTAAATCCTCAAGACAGTTACAAGATGAGTTTAACGGCAGGCATTTCAGACTTTGGCACCGGACCCAGAATTTGATCCTAACAGCACTAATCAAAAAGTCAGTCATATTTGATGAAGGAATGGAGGTGATGGAGATATCATCATGTGTCAGGGTTTAATGTGAGAAGTGCATAAAGTACATATAGTGCTTGTTAGAGTCTATTTCTAGCATAGCACTGTATTTGCAACAAACTGCATGACAAACCCAAGAGTTAAGGTTTTTACTCCTTATTAAAAATATAACTAGTTTTAGTTTATTTATAATACTTTTGTGTAAAAAATTATTTAAATTATATATATATATATATATATATATATATATATATATATATATATATATATATATATATATATATATATATATTCATAGTTTTAGAAATATATAATATGGTTTTAGCTGAATAAATTAAGGATGAGAAACTACAACGGACAAATGTACTTTGTCATGCTCCTATCACATTTTAAGCCTTCCTTTAATCTTTTTATTTCTGTCTAATGTAAATAAAACATCCAAAATGGACTCACAGTTTATCAATTTATGTCTGCAGTTTTTAATTTCAATCTGTTATATTTGCTATGATAACACAACAACTATAATGATAATAATAATAATACCAAATGACCCATTGCTGTAGTTTTCAACAATAACACACCCTAGATTACTATAGTAAAAAGTAAAGTAAACTACATTATGTATTACAGCTTATCAGTTCACTATAGTTAATACTACAGTACAATGTAAAAAAATGAAAAGTTGACTAAAAACAAGTGAGTAAACCTGCTGCTTTTAAAATGGTTAGTTGACTTAATGTAAAATAATTGAGTAAACCTGTTATTTTTAGACCGATTAGTTGATCTAATGTAGAGTAAAAGAGTAAACCTATTATTTTTAAAACGATTAGTTGGCTTTACTTAAAAGAAGTGAGTAAACCTGTTATTTTTAAAACAGTTAGTTGACTTAATGTAAAATAATTAAGTAAACCTGTTATTTTTAAAACGATTAGTTGACTTTACTCAAAAAAAGTAAGTAAATTTGTTATTTTTAAAACGATTAGTTGGTTTTACTCAAAATAAGTGAGTAAACCTGTTATTCTTAAAACGATTAGTTGGTTTTACTCAAAATAAGTGAGTAAACCTGTTATTTTAAAATGGTTAGTTAGGTTTACTCAAAATAAGTGAGTAAACCAGTTATTATTAAATTGATTAGTTGACTTAATGTAAAATAAGTGAGTAAACCTGTTATTTTAAAATGATTAGTTGGCTTTGCTCAAAATAAGTGAGTAAACCTATTATTTTTAAAACGATTAGTTGGTTTTACTGAAAATAAGTGAGTAAACCTGTTATTTTTAAAACGATTAGTTGACTTTACTCAAAATAATTTAGTAAACCTTTTATTCTTAAAACGGTTAGTTGACTTTACTCAAAATAAGTGAGTAAACCTGTTATTTTAAAATGGTTAGTTAGCTTCACTCAAAATAAGTTAGTAAACCTGTTATTTTTAAAACGATTAGTTGACTTTACTCAAAATAAGTGAGTAAACATGTTATTCTTAAAATGGTTAGTTGACTTTACTCAAAATAAGAAAAAAAAGTGACTAAACCCATTGACTTAAAATTTTTAAGTGAATGAACCATGCGCATATTTATAAACATTGAGTTAAATCAACTTAAATGTCCCAACTTACAACAGGTTTGCTCACTTTTTTAAGTAAACCAACTAATTGTTTAAAGCAACAGATTTACTCAATAGTAAAATTTACAATAGTAAAACTATAGTATTTACAATGAACAACCTTGTATCGTATTCAGTACCTGGTGTGTAGAGCGCATGAGGATGTAATTGGTCACTTTGCCGAACGGAAGACCCAGGTTGATGACATCATTCTCGGTGCAGCTTCCCTCCGGCAGGTTACAGATATGCACCACGCGGCCTGGACATGCTTTCCGCTGAACAAACTGACAGAGCACACAGAGAAATACATGTTACACACTACACTACATGACAAAAGTAGGATAGCACTCCTTCTCATACTTCAAAGTTCCTGAAAGCAAAGAAGGTCAAGGTGCTCCAGGATTGGCCAGCCCAGTCACCAGTTCTGGACATTATTGAGCATATCTGGGGTAAGATGGAGGAGGCATTGAAGATTTATCCAAATAATCTAGATGAACTCTGGGAGTCCTGCAAGAACGCTTTCTTTACCACTCCAGATGACTTTATTAATAAGTTATTTGAGCCATTGCAGAGATGTATGGATGCAGTCTTCTAAGCTCATTGGAGTCATACACAATATTAATTCTTTTTCCACAGCACCATGACTTTATATTCTATATTATGCATTATTTCTGTTAAGTGACAAGACTTTTGTCTAAGCTAAGTCAAACCTTACTGTCATATTTGTCATGATCATATTTTATTTTGGTAAACTAGGCTTAATCTAGAGGCCTTTGCCTTTCATACAGCCACTTCTGATAAATTATCAACTAGAAGTCAAGTTATTATTTGTTGTTCCTAAAACTTGGATAGGCGACAAGACTTTTGTCAGGTAGTGTATATTACACTCTTTACTTTTACATATTGTTTACATCTGATGGACAATGAGGAGAATCTTGAAGAATGCGGTGAAAGATGATCAGACTGATCTGCTCACTGACGCCCCCTACTGCTTGAGGAAAACAACATTATCCCCGAATCTACACCTACACACACTTCAGGCTGATTTTAAGATTACATTACGACAGTGTGTTGTTCCTAGTATAGCAATACATTGAAAAAAAAAAGATTCATTGGATTAGCAATTTTGTTTTAGGATAAATGGTTGCAAACAATTTATAAGGACTGAATTTAAACAAATAAATTTAATTGAGTGATGTTCAACTTGATTTTAATATTTAGCTAATCATTATTATATTACTTTCATAATTTAAAAAGCACCACAGTCTCTAATTAATATATTCAAATGCTTCTTCATTTGAAATATTCTAAAAAATACAGACATTTTACATTAGTTCTGTGTTGTGTTATTATACCATGAAAAAGTGGGCTTTATTAGCTTTTGAAAAATATGAATTTATGAATAAATACAAACATCTATAAATATACTTTTTGATTTAATGGTCTTTTTGACAGACTCTCTTGTAATATATATGTATATATTACAACAATAACAAAAAAAACTAAACAAAATAAAAATAGAAAATGCTTTCATGTAAAAAATGTTAAAAAATCCAAAATCTATTATTATTACCCCATAATTATATGATTTAAGTTATCTAATGCACAACAAAATCCTTTGAGTATAATGTACTATTCAAAACTACTACACCAAGTTTCTCTTTATTGAGGCAATGTTATTCAAGTAAATGAAACAATGAAAGGATTAGTCAGGTGATGATTGAGGACTGAGGATGAACACCTGCTGTTTAGAAACACAAAACTACAACTGACTTCAGTCACAGCTTTAGATGAAATCAGCTGAAATATAATACATTGAATCTCTCAAAATCTCAGCAGGGGATCAACTCGATCAATAAGCAAGTCCACAAACAGCAGCTTTACTTATTACTAACCTCGTTTGCCTTATTATAAAGAGGGACCAAATACTCTCTGAAATGAGTAAATTTTACTCAGAGGATTAGTAATTGTTTTATATTGTGTTATTATGCCATGATAAATCATATGCAAATGATAATAATAATCTGTTGCAGCGTTCAAAGGTTTGGAGTAAGTTTTTAATGCTTTTGAAGTCTTCTTCTATTGAGGTTTTGTGAAATATAATTACAATATTATATATCCTTTATAAATAATTCTAAATAGACTTTTTTTCTCTCATATTTAATTTGTTCTTCTTATCAATTAAAGAACAGCATTTATTTTAAACACAACACACATTTAAAAAAGTCTTTACTGTCACTTTAGGTCAAACGAATGCATCCTTGTTAAATTAAAACAGAAATTTTTTTTGAAAAAAAAAACTGTAAAGAAAGAAATAAAGAAAATACTCCCAAAGAAACTGTAGCATATATTACACCTCAAGGGTGTAGATTTGCACTTGACATAGATAGGCATGGGTGGATCAAAAATATATTAATATTTAATCCTCTCTTCATAAAATGTATTAAGTTTCAGGCCCGTAGCCAAGGAGGAATCGGGTGGACTTTTCCAACCAAAAGTTGGATTATTATTGTAATTTTTTATTTTTTCTTATCATTTAAATGGCCAAATTCTGACTGAGGAAAGTTAGATTATTATTGTTATTGTTGAATTTTTCTTATCATTTAAATGGCCAAATTCTGAAAAAGGAAAGTTGAATGTTCTGGCCAGTTTTTTTTTTATTATTTTTATTTGCCTATAGGCTTCAGTTATTAATTTAACAGATTTTCCTAAAAAAATGTAATGACAGGTGATAATATATTTGTCTTTTAAAAATAAGTATCATGTTTCTGTATTTAAACTTTTCATTATTTATAAAACTGTAATATAAAACGTGCAGTTTAAATGCTTATTTTAAAATGAACACTTATAATAGTAAAATACCATGGTAAGAAATTTGATAAAATAGTTGGAAATATTTTTGTTACAAAGAAAAGTGAGGTTATGTTAACCATCCGACAAGATAATACAGCATAAATCAGTTCTTAAAACGTTACTAAAATTTTATATTTATACCTCATAACTAAATAGAAAATCAGGCAAATAACTGCAAAAGGGATTAGTTTTTCAGAAAAAAAAAAACACTCCTTTAAATAAGCTGGCTACAGGCCTGATAGCGTAATGTTAAAAATAATGATTATTAACTGATAAAGAGAGAGTTTAATAGAGATGTCTCTTTATTTTAGCCAAAGGGCAAACAAAACATATCTCTCGTGTTGGTATTATGCCTTTACACTGGCTGTATTTTTTTTCTGACAAGTTGTTTCAACCAAAATTGAACTCTGGGAGCTTGGGAGAACTGGCAGGGATCATGTAGTTTAGCCGTTTATTCTGCAGTTAGTTTTCAGGACATATTATTCACAGACTAGTCTTTATCAGTTTGCAATGAGGACAGACTGTGCGTTAAAGCGGGGGAAAACCCGAGCATTATTGACATTATCATGCTGGGCTAATTCAGTAGCAAACTTGCGTTAATGTCATTTACACTTTCGTTGGAAAAAAGCACCTTGTGTCCACCTTTTACTGCCCCATCCTCACTTGAGTGCGTCACCCAACACAGCTTATTCTTGCATGGGAAAGAAACAATCAACTGTATTTGGCGCTGCTTGTAGCTGAACACAGCCACAACCTCTCACATGATAGCAGGGAAAGGCACAGCCAATCACAAGATTCATTTGGATCATTCGGGATCTGAAAAGCTACGCATCGATTCATTTGCTCTTTAGTGTTTGGATTCTCAGTAATGATTTAAACCACACTGAACTGAGCTAAACTGAACTGAACTTAAACACTAAAAACTAAACTACCCTGATCCAGTTACTATGCCCATTTATGTGAAGCTGCTTTGACACAATCTACATTGTAAAAGTGCTATACAAATAAAGCTGAATTGAATTGAATTGAATTTGCATTTTGGCGGCGGGAGGACTCAAGGACAGAATGTAATTTAACCCATTCTGCATGTCAAGGTTAATGTTGACAGCTTGATTTTTTAAAAGTAGATTAAATAATTGGTGGGGACATTTCAATGGGGCGTCGTAGTGGCGCAGTAAGTAGTGCTGTCACCTCACAGCAAGAAGGTCACTGGTTCGAGCCTGCGTTATCCCTGCGTTCGCGTGGGTTTCCTCCGGGTGCTCCGGTTTCCCCCACAATCTAAATACACGTGGTACAGGCGAATTGGGTAGGCTAAATTGTCCGTAGTGTATGTGTGTGAATGAGTGTATATGGGTTTCCCAGAGATAGGTTGCAGCTGGAAGGGCATCCGCTGGGTAAAACATGTGCTGAATAAGTTGGTGGTTCATTCCCCTGTGGCGAGCCTGGAATATTAAAGGGACTAAGCCAAAAAGAAAATAAATGAATGAGCATTTCAATAGATGGGATATTGGTGGGGACGCGTCCATCCACCATAAATCTACACCTACAGAATATTAAATCATAATATATGTGTATAAAAGGTTGCGCAGTGGGTAGAAATATATCTTTTTAATATTTTTTCACATTTTTCGAGTGCCTTGGACTTTTCGTTGTTTATTCTGATGAGTAGCACTGTTGCCTCACAGCAAGAACTGGTTTGATCCCTGGCTGGGTCAGTTGGTATTTCTGTGTGCACGTTCTCCTCGTGTTCACGTGGGTTTCCTCCAGGTGCTCTGGTTTCCCCAACACTCCAAAGACATGCGCTGTAGGTGAATTGGGTTAGCCAAATTAGCCGTAGTGTTTGTGTGTATGTCCTGGTCCTCCAGGTTGGGGGTTGAGCGTTGGGCTAACAACCCACCTCATAAAAACTAGATGCTATGAAAGACCAATGTGGTTCAGCTAAATATCAACTTCCATATAAATGACCCTGGGAGCAAGTAGGTATGCCTGTATGTATATAGCATAATCTAAACACACGATCAGATGAAGCTGTGTTCAGTTTTACAGCAGTAACATAAGCTCCAGTGAACAGGCTGTTTTTTACAGGCAGGACGCAGGATTTGATTGACAGCAGCAAATGTGATGTCATTCCACATCAGCAGAGGGTCAGAGAGAAGGGTCAGTGTTTACACTGCAATTTACATGTGAGGGCTGATCCTCCACCCTACTCATTCAAACATCACACACTGTAAGTAGAAATACAACAATCCTGATTTTTCATGGCCAACTCCAATTGTAGATTTATTTACAAGCAAAGTCGCTGATTTGGAAACCCAAAATCCAATAAAATAAAAAATAAACAAGAAACAAGTAATATTTAAAATATGAGTACGGTGTACACTGTAAACCTGATCGATACAACTATTCGGCATATACAGTTGAAGTCAGAATT